CCCCACATTCTCACCAACACTTATTGTTAAACATGTAATTTATAAAAGAGGGAATACAAACAGTCACTAAGTAAGTAAAAAATGCTTGGCCTAACCAGTATTTGGAAACTTTAAATTGAAACAAAAACAAGAAGTGAGATACTTAAAAAATCTGTTAAATGGGCAAAAATTTTAAAGGTTTTAAAAACATTTGAGTGTTGGCAGAGGATGAGGTTAGGATACACATTATCATATACTGCTAAAGATAAAAGGATAAAAGTTAGCAGTTTTTTCTTCTTCCTTTTTTTGTGGTGCTGGGGATCAAATCCAGGGGCTTCACATTTGCTAGGCAAGTTCTCTCCTACTGAGCCACATTCTCAGACATGAGAATATGTTAGATAGCTATTTTAGAGAGGAATTTGGAGTATCTTTGTCAAAACTGGGTTTATTTCAATAGTGAAAGTTGAATTAACATTAGAAATCAAGTCAGTATAGTTCACTGAATTAATAGGAAAAGGAAAAAAAATCATCTTAGTAGGTGTGGTAAAAACACTTGATACAATTCAAAAGTAATTTGTGATAATTTGTAGTGAACTAGTAATAGAAGGAAACTTTGTTAGTCTGACAAAGGACATCTATAAAATATTGACAGAAAATATTTTATTTAATGTTGGAATATTCCAAGTTTTCCCTCTAAGACTAGAAATGAGGCAAGTATGTTTGTTCTTTCCACTTTTTTAAAAAATATTTTTTAGTTGTTGATGGACCTTTATTTTGTTTATTTTTATGTGGTACTGAGGATCGAACTCAGTGCCTCACACATGCTAGGCAAGCATTCTACCACTGAGCCACAACCCCAACCCCTGTTCTTTCCATTTTTATTCCATACTATACTAAAGGTCCTGGGCAAAAGAAAAAAAGTTTGGAAAGAAGGGAACAAAACCACAATTTTTTGTCTTGGTTATTGGTCATTAGTATGTATTCACCTTGTGATAATTCACATGACTTTGCTCTTTGATGTGAGTACCTTCTGATAAAAATTATTATATATACAAAATAAAAATGATACACTAGATCTATACTTGTTGGGTAGAAATTTGTCTATGCAACAGGTGTTGGAAGAATGGCATAAAACTGTATTTTTAAAACATGCATTTTATATTTGATGGACACAAATTAATTGTACACATTCATAGGGCACACAATGTGACATTTCAATACATGTATACAATGTACAATGGTCAGATGGGGGAACCGCATATCTATCATCTCAGTCATTGATCATTTCTGTTGGGAACATTCAAAATCCTTTCTACTAGATATTATGGAATACTCAATTAATTATGGCAACTATGTTGTCATACTGTGCCATATAACATTCCTTTTTACTTAAAGGAATAACTATATCCCTGTAAACTTTATATTTTGATTCTATTAAAATATATATACGTAAAAATCTTTGTATATGTGAATAATATATTTCAAAGGATATAGCCAAAATTATAATAGTTGTTGTTTTTGAGTAATGAACCAAGAAACTGAGGATGATCTGTATTTCACTGTATTCCTTTTGGTTTACTTAGCATGAAGAATAAAATATGTAAATATTCCATCTTATTGCATTCAGAACAGCAAGTATCCAGGACACAAGTAACAATAAATGTTGGCAAGGATATGGGGAAAAAAGGTCCACTCATACATTGCTGGTGGGACTACAAATTAGTGCAATCACTCTGGAAAGTAGTATATAGATACCTCAGAAAACTTGGACTGGAACCACCATTTGACCCAGTTATCCCACTCCTTAGCATATACCTAAAGGACTTAAAATCAGCATACTATAGTGATACAACCACATTAATGTTTATAGCAACTCAATTCACAATAGCTAAACTATATTGGAACCAGCCTAGGTGCCCCTCAACAGATGAATGGATAAAGAAAATATGGTATATAGACACAATGGAATACTACTCAGCCATAAAGAGAAATAAAATTATGGCATTTGCCAGTAAATGGATAGAACTGGAGAGGCTATCATACTAAATAAAATAAGCCAGTCCTCCAAAACCAAAGGCCAAAAATGTTCTTTCTGATAATGCAGATGCTAACACACAATAAGGGGCGAGGAGGGAAGAATAGAAGTTCATTGGATTAGACTAAGGAGAATGAAGGGAAGGGAGAGGATGGGAACAGAAAAGACAGCAGAATGAATCAGATATAACTTTCCTTTGTTCACATTTGAATATAAAACCAGTGTAACTCTACATCATATACAACCATAAGAATGGAGTCCTAATTAGAATAAGTTAAACTCTATGTATGTATAATATGACAAAGTACACTCTATTGTCATGTATATCTAAACAGAACAGCAACTAAAAAAGGAATAAAAATATAATTGTATGTGTATGGGTTCTTACAGTGACTAGACTGAGAGACAACATTGATTTGGATAAATAAGGGGTTGTATATTTTTAAAAGAAAACAATTGTTTCATAACTTTATAATAGTTTATTTCTCAAAAAACTTAACCTGAATACCTCCATTAAAAATCCCATTAGATTTCTCAGTAAAAATCTAGAGATATAACTGTTAACACTATATGGAACATTGTATCCTCTTCTTAGTTTATTTTATTTGGGTACCATTATCAAATTTTGGGGTAGACTTCATAGGTTTAAAAAATGTTGATATGTAATACTAGCCCAAAAACAAACACATGGTTTACTGTGTTTTGTAGCTGAAAATTTTGTTACTCAAATTAGTCATTGCTCCCCATACATTTCAAAATGATACAATTCCTTGGATCACGTTTGACCTGTATTTTGTTTTCCTGCAACATAGCACTGAGAACAATTCATGGTATACTAATACTTCCTGAATGGTAAGGTAGGGCACTGTGTGATTCTGTTTGATCTTATCTGTTCTTATTCCATGAGACTCATCAATATACTCTCCGAAACTATAATCCTTAAATTGTGTTCACATATTATTTCAATAATTTTCTATTACCCAAGCCCAGAACTTTTCCTTCTAGATTTCTGCAAGACCAATCTCTGAGACATGGGGCAGTGGTCACATCAACTTGCTAAGCTCACACCCCTAGCTGTGGAAAGAAATTTCCATTTTAAGTGTCTCCTTGCCATTACTGACCTATAATATGTTATAGATTAGGTTTTGTTATTAAAAAGAGAGTTCTTGGTGTGTCTTACTCTTGGTATATTTCATAAACAAGCTGAGACTTATTTTCCTCATCTGTAAAATGGGAGTAACTAAAGTAATTATGCCTCATGGTGATTGCGATAATTAAATCAGACAACACAGATAAATGCCTACCTGAGACCTGATAATATTCAACTTGTGTCATCTACAATATTTAAAAATTCTTTTAGTAGTAGATGAAAACAATACCTTTATTTTGTTTTATTTGTTTTTATGTGGTGCTGGGGATTGAACCCAGTGCCTCCCATGTGTGAGGCAGGCGCTCCACCATTGAGCCATAATCCCAGACCTCAGCTATAATATTTTCATTCTCATAACTTAATAAGTACTTACTAAGTACTAAATTCATTAGGCTGCACAATGGGTGGGAATATTTTGTGTGGATCAGAGAAGAAAGATGTGTTGATGAAATAACGATGAAATCACACTATTTGGGGTAAATAGTCCATTGACTTTGACAGAAGTATTTAATTGAGTGAATGAAAGGAAAGGGTTTTTCAATTCGAAAGGAAGAACAGGTTAAAAGCACTGGAATGGGGATGAGTATGACAGGCCAGATACTGGAGTTTATTATCTCTGCTTTATTACTCAACTTCTCTTTATCCTGAATTGAGCAGAGGTTTCCTCCCAGTTTTCAGCATAAGCTTTGACAACACTCTTAGTTTTTGAGGGCTTCAGTATCCTCATTTGTGAGATGAAGGTGCTGATGACCTAGGACAGCTACAGATTTAAAGATTCTACCCTCTGATGCCCAGTCTTCTTAAGTTTTACTTACCAAAACTCATTAACAAGACTGATCCTAAAATCATAACAGCAGCATGTAAGACTTCAGTATAAACCACAGCTGTCAAACCACCTGAAGAAAAAGAGAATGAGAAATTAAAACCACATCTGACTTTGCTGACTGTAATTTCTGAATCACCTACTCAATTCATCTTTTTCCTCCTATCTCTCTTCATTAAGACTTTATATCCCTTTAAATCAGTGTCTTTTAAACTACTTGTACTTGGTTTTGGTACTTTCTCTTTTCTCTTGTAAATATCCTTGACAATCTTTTATAATATTCTTAGCTTGCTCTTTTATATCCCAATTTTCCTTTACTTCCCATTTTTTTCAGATAAAAAATCTGATAGATCTCTTAAGCAAAAATAATGCAACCTTCATCACAAAAATCTCAGTTTAAAGGAACAGTTAGTAGTACCCTGGCCTCTACCCACTTGGTAGTATCCCCTGTGACAACGAAAAATGTCTCCAAACATGTCTCCTGAGAAGCAAAATCCAGCTCCTATTCCCATGTTTTGTGATCCATTGAATACACTCTACTTCCCACTGATTCTCTTTACTTGTACTCTAGTGAACTCCTGGGAACATAAACCAGTGCTGTGGCTGGAAAAGAATGACAGGAGCTCCCATTCTCCAAATCTAGGTAAAGGCTCCCTAGAACACAACTGCCTATGTAAAAGATCCCGTCTGGGGAGGAAAGATGGTGAAATGAGATGGACATCATTACCCTAAATACGTGTATGAAGACATGAATGGTTTGAATATATTTTGTGTACAACCAGAGACATGAAAAATTGTGCTTTATATATGTAATATGAATTGAATTGGATTCTGCCATCATTTATAACAAATTAAAATTTTTAAAAAAGATCCCATCCAAAGACCTTGCCAGGTGACTTAAGGCCTATGTATCCCCCTCATTCCCTTTCTGTACTCCTACTCTATCACTTGATAACCTGAAGTAACAGCCCAATTCTGCCCCAAACATGGTCACTATTGACCCCATTATTCCCCTTGAAAAACTCTTGAGAGCCCAATCTAATTTCTAGAAGTAGAACACCACTTAGGTATCCCTCCCTCCAATATTTCCACTGTCTGTGATCTATATACTTAGAGAAAATTGTAAGGCCTAGAAACTGATGCCTCAATGTCTACTAGTACTCCACTAAGTAGAGAGTGTTTGAAGTAGTATAAATCCTGATTCATGGGTTCAATTTCCAGCACCCCACCCCACAATCCTGATTCAGTGTTTGAATCAGGGCAACCTCACCTGTGATGGTGTACATGCCAGAAACTGTCAGCAAGACTAGGGTAGTCTGGTAAATATTCAAGTTCCAAATCATTTTCAAGAACATAGCACCATAGCTGATCTCCAGCTGAAATAAGTACAAGGTCAGCATACTGCACTTTCTTTTCCATCAGAATCAACAACAATTCAAGAAAGAAATGGGTCTTGGAAGCCATATGCAAGAGGTGGTCTCTGACTGGCACCGCATTGCATGGATGCTAGCTGAGATCTACCGTGAGTTCAGCCTGTAGAGCTGAATTAATTCAATTTGCCCAGTTAACACAACTTAGCCTTTTCCATTCTGAAGACTCAGAGTGGAAACTATGGTTCCTCCACTGGGAAAAAGCCACGGGGATAGCATCTTAGAGATTGGCAAACTTTTCATGTAAAGGGTCACATGGTAAATATTGTAGGCTTTTTGGACCACACACTGTCTCTATTTTTTTATAACCTTTTAAAGCTGTAAAAATTGTTCCTAGCTCAAGAGTTGTACAAAGCAGATTATTAGCTGGATTTGTCTACAGACCAGATTTGTTGAACCCTGGCTTAGTTAACACTGTTTTTGAAACATCTGCACATCATTTAACTGGATAACCTCTTGATTTGTTATTCTAGCCTCCAAAGCCAGGGATACAATGGGAAAAGATTCATCTATAAATTTGTTCACCAAATGCTTACTGAGTGCCAACCATGTCATCGATACTTAGCAGGTTCAGAAGACACAAGGGTTACCAAAACTTAGTAGCTGTCTTCAAGAAGCCTATGTTGAATGAAGGAGACAGACTACTATACAGCCTTGTTCTCAGTGTGATAAATACCACTCATTTGATTATTTAAAAAAAATTTATCAAGTGCTTTATGTGCTAAACATGTTCTCAGCACAGTTCTCAGTAATGCAGTAAAGAAGCCAAGCAAGGTCCTTGGTCTCAGGAAGCTTACACTGAAGCAGAGAAGACAGATAATAAACAAATAAATTACTCATAAGGTGATAAACATTACAAAGAAAATAAAAACAGAGCCATGGAGTAGAGACTGACTAGGAATATCTGTGAAGGCTTGTTGCAAGGATGTGACATTTGTGAACACTGTAAACAGTATAGAGCAAGTATAAGGGGCTTGATGTGGGAATAAGTTAGCTGTGTTTGAAAATCAATAAGGCAGTAAATGTAGGTTAAGGGGAGTAAATAAGAAAAGTAAGGCCAAAGAGGCAAGCAGGGACTCGAACAGGACAGCCCTTATAGTCTTACTCAAGAGGTTAAGTTTTCTTGCAAGAAGATGGAAACTCCTAGATTTTTTTGAGCACATTACCTAATGACATTAGATGGATAAGCCCAAGGTTCTTTGACCTGTGACCTGCACTTGAGATTTAAGAAAGATGCCTCTGCCTTTTATTTTTTGCAAAATAGTATTAAACTATTAATAGTAAAATTAAGTACTCTTTGATACTCTACCTTACACAATAGAGATCAACAAGTCATTTATGAAGCTTCAGAGTAAACTATTGGGATAACTAAGCATAATCATGAATCCTGCTTGTTGGTTTTTGGTTTTGTTCTTGTTCTTTTTTTTAGGGGGGGGTATTTTACTGGGCTGGTTTTCATATAACTCACCGAGATCATACTAAAGGTATAGACGAGTAAAAACATAAAAGAGAAGAGGAACTGGATCCGGAAGCCACCAAATCTCTTCCTCAAATATTCTGGCAATGTCACCACCTGTACAAGCCGCAAGATAAGTCACCATTAGATAGTGAGTGTGGAAGAGGCAGATCCATGGGGATGAGCCTTGCTCACAAAGTGCTGTTTGCCCCAGAGATGTTGCCAATGGTGGGAGTGGCCCAGGAGTACAAAATGTGGGATCACTGCCTCTGGCACCAGTCAAGATGGGGCAAATAAGGAGAGGCAATATTGCTGTCTTCAAGAAGTCTTGGAATCCAGCTTCCTGTGCAATGTTTGGAATGCAGAAGGAAATTTAGCTAATTAAATTTTCTAAAGATGACAAATAACTTTTATGGAATGATAATAGAGTAAAAGCAAGTACCTTGTCATGTACTAAAAAGATAGCTAGTACTCAAAGGACATGGAACCTGACTCTACAGCCTGTGTCTAAACTGCCAGTCTAGGTGCTGGTGCCCCAAATGATCCTGTTCTTTTTCTATATTGTCTAAGACACCAAGAATTCAGGAATCATGCCTTCTGTGCTCACTATGTTCTTGGACCAGAAACTGGGATCATATCCATTTAACAATTATTGATACACCTACCATGGCTAAATGGATATGGTCCCAGTTTCTGTCCTGACTATCTTTATGTGCTCTTGATCATCTACCAATCAATACATGTCTACTTTAAGTTCTAACTTAAACTCTCCCTGTTTGATGAAGCACCACTCTTGGCAGTGTCAGTCTTTTAAATCTTAGCCATTCTGGTGTGTACTGTATATATATAAATTGTTTTTATATAACAATGTTTTGACATCTTAAAAATATCTTTCTGGCTTGGGGGAGGTTGCCTTTCCAAAAATTAGTCAATTTTTAAAGATAACAAAGGGCTCAGCACGGAGTATGTCTTTGATATATGAATTAACCAATTCAGAGCTGAACTTCCTCTAGCTAGCCTGTGACCCCAGGGAACAATATCCTCTGCTCATTCATCTCAGATCAGGTATTAGGCAACTAGAGATCAACCCTACAACCCCAAAACTATTGAGATTATTTAAGCTAGCCAATCCTAAATTGTTCATTCTGCCCTGCCTTGACTTTCCCATAGAAACACCAATAAAGCCCCAAATCCCTTCATTTCTGTCTTCTGCCTTCTGACCATCCTGTGTCTTTCCCATGTGGTCCTGCATGGCATGCTGTCTCTGACACCATCCTATGTCTAGGACCTGTGGGTATATTAACCTTCATTTTTCCTGAGCTGCTTCTATTTCTACACTTGTTGTCAAAGCCAATGACTACCTCATAAAAAGAATCAAAGAATGAATATGCAATAGTATCTTATTTTAATAGCATTTCCCTAATGATTAATTATAGTATCTTTTCATGTGTTATTTGCCTCTTATATATTTTCTTTGGTGAAACATTTGTTCAAACCTTATTTTTATTATCAAGTTATAAGAGTTTTTCAACATACATATTTTCTGCATATGAGTGTTTTATTGTAAATAAGTTTTACAAGTATTTCCTGCCAGTCTCTAGCTTGGTTTTTCATTTTCTTAACATCTTTTAAACTAAAAATTTAAATTTTGGATGAAGTCTAATTAACTAACTTCTTTCTTTATGATTTATGCATTTTGGGTCTCCATAAATCATTACCTACCAAATCACCTTGATTTTTGAGGAATATATTTGATATAAAATCCTTGCTTAATATTTTTTCTTTTTTTCTAGCATTTTTAATATGTCTGTCTAATGTTTTCTGGCTTCTGATGTTTCTACTGAGAAGTTGACCATTAAATATGTCATTGTTGCCTTGAATGTAATGTGTCATTTTCCCCTTACTGCTTTCAAGATTTCCTTTTTGTTTTTATCAGTTTTGCTATAGTATACCTAAGTGTGGTTTCCTTTGTGTTTATTCTATTTAGTTTTTACAAAGTTTCTTGGATCTGTAAATGAACATTGCCCTCCTAGCTTTGAAAATTTTCAGTTGTTATGTTTTATTTATTTATTTATTTTTTTTTTTTTGTTGGTCGTTCAAAACCTTACACAGTTCTTAATACATCATATTTCACAGTTTGATTCAAGCGGGTTATGAACTCCCAACTTTACCCCGTATACAGATTGCTGTATCACATCAGTTACCATTCCATTGATTGACATATTGCCTTTCTAGTGCCTGATGTATTCTGCTGTCAGTCCTATTCTCTACTATCCCCCCTTCCCTCCCCTCCCCTCCCCTTTTCTCTCTCTA